CACACACGCACACACATAATACTTACCAACCCCTTTATCGTCATTCCCAGGAGAAAGCTGTGAGATGGAATTTTGTGAGGGCAAAGATCCTGAGGCAGAACTCCACAAACATTTTGTCCGCTGTAAGAAAAATCCCGGCCACAAGAAATTCATTCCAGTTTCTCAGTTTGATGCAGATGGTGCAGTGGCTGCGATCAAGACACTAGCCGTGGATACCGTTAAGTTGATCGTCAGGTACACGTCAAAGAGTCGCCCTAACAAGTTTGGTCTCCCTACTCTGAAGTGAAAACGCAATCCCCGATTTGGTAGTGGTTGCTTCGTACCTATTCCATCAGACTCGATGGAGAACCAGCCGTGCCCCCTCAAGGATTGTCCTTTCTCCAAAGAGGACCATCTGGTCACTGCCACGTTTGTAGTCTTCACCGCAGCTCACGTGGTCTACGATGCTGACGAGGCGGTGGTCACCTCCGTGGAATTTTTTTATGACGATGATAAAGATAGGTCAGAGGTGGTGACCGCTCAAGCTGTTCAACTTGGGTATGCTGATGAGGGGGCGGACACGACCTGTTTGAAGTGCATCTGTCACGACTTAGCCCTTTTCCACAAAATGAAAAGTCGCAGGATGTACGGGAAAGATGTGAAGTGGAGCATGTCGGTTCCCATAGCTGTTCTGATTTCCCATCCCCATGGTTGCTCTAAGCAGATATCTGTCGGGGATCTGGTAGATAGGAAGGAGCTGGATCCCGTTCAGGGTCTGTCGTTTTTAAAGCCGTCTTTTAAAGATGGAGAAGAATTTAAAGCAATGAAGAATGCTAGTGCAGATGCGAAGAAATGTCTGACTGTTTTTCTGGACACAGTTTTCAAGAAACGCTATGGAGAAAATATAAAAGGTGGTGACGAGAAAACGAAGGTCAAAAACACTGTGTTCCGGTTGATTCTGAAAGAGCTTAGAACTGAGGGCTGCACTGTTCCCGTGTCCGAGTCGGAGAGGGATTTCTGGGAGAAAGTCTTTGTACACACCAGTATGGGAATGGGAAGCTGGTCTTTAGGATGTGATAGGAGTTGGGTGTCTGGGGTGATGGCTGCATTTCATTTTCTAACGATGTTAAATTTTATTAATGCTTTCGAAAAAGCGATTAGTTTTGAGTCCATGGAGAAAGATGGCCTTGTTGGCTATGAGTTTTTGCGTGAGCTGTCTGGGGTGCAGGAAGCCCCCTCCTTTCGCGAGAAAGTGGGAGAGAGGAAGACGTTCCGACATATGTCCTACTCCACCCCGTCTTGTCCTGGCTCGTCTGGAGGACCTGTGTATTGTTGGAGGAAGGACGGAGACGAAATTAAATTTTCCGCCGCCTTTCATAGCCGAAAGGGGAATAACAAAAATATCAGCGGGCTTTGCACCTCATCATGGGTGAAACACAGACACCGAGTTTTACTTTTATATATATTACTTTACTTTACTTTTTTACTTTTTTACTTTTTTCTTCCGCTTGTACCCTGGGGTGTCGCGGGGAGACA